TACTTGTAGACACAGACAGTGATCAATTTCGATCCGTGGATAGGGACATCTTTATGACCCCTGTCAGCTTGAAGAAGTTACAGAAGATAAGCCCTTTGTCCTTCAACAACCTTAAAGATTTAAGTACTGAAAATTCATCAGGAGGGAAATGATGACGGACAGAAACAGAAAAATGTTCACCTTTAGTCCAGAAGCCTGACCTATAGTCTGCAGTGTTGATAAGGATCAAATGGTTGCTACATTTTTAAAGGGTCTCATGACTACCAGTGTATCTCACCAGTAGTTAATATCAAGCTGAATGATAAGCACCAGAGAAATCTCCAGTAGTTTTACAAGTCGAAATTTGAAGAAAACACTTACGATCTAATGCTCCCTGCTCATCCCATCCCCCTTGAACACTAAGCATGTAACCACCACCAGCTTCATACAGCAAAAGTGCAGCACTTTCTGCCCAGGGGTCCTGCCCCCGCACTACTTAAATAAATTTACAAAGTTGTACTGTAAAACATCTCAAGAACTCTTTTTTGACCATCATGTTCAACAATCCTGCAGCAAGTCCAAATGTAATAAAATTATGGATAAGAATTATGATGCACCTCAGCATTAGAATAAAGAAACAGACTAGGTTCTCTAGGAGTTTTAATGGCCTGGGAGGGAAAACAAGAAAGAGCAGAGCAGGACCATGATGGTGCTATTTACAAGTCCCACAAATGCATCTTAAAAAATTCACTTAGGATAAACAATTTAGTATTTAGGTCACGATAACCTTGTTTTGGAAAAATACTAGAAACTACAGAATTTGGTAGGCAAGATGTGAGGGGAGAAATATACAAGGATGTGCTTTTGTGAAACCCTCTATACCAGGTTTTAATGGCAAAGGCAAAGTAGAGAGAAGAACTTGCTTACTTTATTCCCTATCACCTGGGTTATTTTTACTTCCTCCACTTCTTTCCCTCTCCCCATTTATTTTGTTATTTATGCATATATTCAGCATGTTTTCTGAAAGTATGTGCTGTTTCATTGGCCCTACCCTGATGGAACTATAATCCAGGGTACTTCTCAAAGTGTGGCTCCCACACCAGCAGGGTCAACATCACCTGGAAACAAGTTAGAAATGAAAACTCTTGGGCCCCCCCAGACCTACTGAATCAAACTCTGGGGGTAGGACCCCAACAGTTTCGTTTTGTTTTTTTAAAGATTTATTTATCTGAGAGAGAGAGAGAGGAAGAGAGGGACTGAGGGAGAGGAAGAGAGAATCTCAAGGACTCCCCATTGAGCCCAATGTGGGGCTCAATCCCAGGACCCTGAGATCATGATCTGAGCAGAAATCAAGTCAGACGCTCAACTGACTGAGCCACCCAGGTACCCCCCAACAATTTTGTTTTTAACAAGCTTTCCAGATGATTCTGATGCACCCAAGGTTTGAAAACTACACTTCAGGGCGCCTGGGTGGCTCAGTCTTGAAGTGTCTGCCTTTGGCTCAGGTCATGATCCCAGGGTTCTGGGATTGAGTCCCACATTGGGCTCCCTGCTCAGAGGGAAGCCTGCTTCTCCCTCTCCCACTGCTTGTGTTCCGTCTCTCTCTGTCTCTCTCTCTGCCAAATAAATAAATAAAATCTTGAAAAAAAAAAAAAAAGAAAACTACACTTCACCCTTGAACAAAGCAGGAGTTAGGGGCACTGATCCCTGTGGAGTAGAAAATCTGTAACTTCTGACTTCCCCAAAACTAATGACTGGGAAGCCTTACTGATAACATAAACAGTAGATTAACACATATTTTGCATGTTATATGTATTACTGTATTTGTACAATAAAGTAAGCTAGAGAAAGTGTTAGGAAAATCATGAGAAAATACAGGTACAATATTGTACTTATCAAAAAAATCCATGTATTAGTAGACCCACAAAGTTCAAACCTGTGTTGTTCAACTGTACTAGAGACACAGTTATGACACAATTCTAGTGCTAGATAGCAGTTGTCCTAGGTCCCATGGCACACAAGAGAGGCACCCAATGTGTTCAGAGGTACGGAGGTGAGAAGTGAGGACATAATAAGTGGTGTGTAGTTCTGGCATGAATAGAATAATAGATATGGGGAACAGAGAGATGATATAAGGAGGGCAAATTTTGAAGGGCCTTGGATGCCATACAAATGAATGGAGTATGGGCTTTATCTCAACACTTACTCAGAATACACTAAAAGATTTTAAGCAGGAATAAGTTAATCAGATTTGTGTTTTTTTAAATTTAAATTTAATTTAATTTGAAAGAGAGTGTGTGTGCGCACGCATGCACATGAGGAGGGGGAGAAGCAGAGGGAGAGAGAGAATCCCAAGCTCACACTGAACGTGGAGCCTGACTTAGGGCTCCATCTCATGACCCTGAGATCAAGACCTGAGCCAAAATCAAGAGTCAGATGTTTAAGCGACTGAGCCACCCAGGCACCCCCAGATTTGTGTTTTCGAAAGATCCTTATGGTGACTGTGCAAAGTATGGATGGAGGCTTGAGAGCAGACAAGGATACCAGTTATGGTTATCACATTCATTCACGCAAACAAAACACTTATGGAGGCTTTAATACGTACTAGGTGCTGATAAACTTAAAAAATTTTTTTAAAAGATTTTATTTATTTGACAGAGAGAGACAGAGAGGGAACACAGCAGGGGGAGCTGGAGAGGGAGAAGCAGGCTCCCCGCTGAGCAGGGAGCCCAACCTGGGGCTCGATCCCAGGACGCTGGGATCATGACCTGAGCCCAACGACTGAGACACCCAGGGGCCCCCATTTAAAACTGTTTTAAGATTTTTTTTCCTGTAAAACTATATTAGAGTACATTACTACATCCCTAAGATTATTAACAACTGCTGATTCTGGCCCAATAATTATAAACGGTTGTCAGGCATATTAACAAAAGGAATAACATCAGCCTCATTGCATATTAAGTATTTGGCTCATTCATTCTCCCAGTTTCATGGCATTTTCTGTCATATTTAAATTATCTAAGGATTTCTTTGTTAAGTCTCTCCATTCCATATACATGGGGTCTACCATAATTCAGACACACTAATCCACCAGCTTCAGCTAGAAATTTTGCTATAGTTATAATTGGTTTTCCTCCCTGTTTTTTTGTGTGTGGGGGGGGGGGGCGGGGGGGAGTTGTTCCAGTCTATCCTAGACACTAATTGATTGCTCAAACATTTAAACTATTTGCCAAACACAGAAAGAAGCCTGCCTTAATTCTGGTATTTAAATTTTTTCAGTATGCCTTTTCCATAGTTAAGCCTCTGCTTATATCCTTTCCTCTGACTAGAATTTCCTTACAACTTCCCTATTTGTCTTGTTTGTTTGCTTCTAAGTCTGGCAGAAACTTCCTTAAGGATCTGAAATTGCTCCTTTCTTTGAACTCTCATTAGCCTAAGATTAACACGTATTTGCATTACTTAACTTGTACAGTTAGTATCACCAAAACCAGATCCGAAACTTTTGGAGAATAAGGGGTTATCTACTTATATTCTGATGTTTGAAATATATTCTGTGGGAGTGCCTGGCTGGCTCAGTCGTGGAGCACACAACACTTGATTTAGGGGTCCTAAGTTCCAGCCTTACCTTGGGGGTAGAATTTACTTAAAAAATATATCTATAGGGCGCCTGGGTGGCTCAGTCATTAAGCGTCTGCCTTCGGCTCAGATCATGATCCCAGGGTCCTGGGATCGAGCCCCACATCGGGCTCCCTGCTCCGCGGGAAGCCTGCTTCTCCCTCTCCCACTCCCCCTGCTTGTGTTCCCTCTCTCGCTGTGTCTCTCTCTGTCAAATAAATAAATAAAATCTTTAAAAAAAATTTAAAAATCTATATATCTATATCTATATATTACCTTACTTAAAAAAAAATATATATATATATAGAAAGGCACATTGCCTGTGAATGAAAGGCACACTGCCTATTAGCAGATGGTTACTGGTATACTATTTGACACGCGATATTACCTATTACGTGACACGTCCTTTCAAGTTGCAAGATATTAATGTTTTAGATATAATGAGAGAGATGTGGAAAATATAACAGCGTATTTTGAATTAACATGTTGCAAACTCCCATGACAGTATTCAACTTATGCAAATGAAACTAAACTTGGCTGGGATACAGAGGACTTATTTTTGTTATGCGGTTGTGACATCTCAGCTGCTTGGATGATGTACACAAACTGCTCACGTTAAAGAACAAGTACTTACACAAGTGTCACACAGGGGGTTTACCTAAGAACTTGCAGAAAAAAATTCCTTAGCTACGTTCTGAAGGCCAGATCAAGTTAAGTTCTCTAACGCTACTCTATCAGAAAACGGAAGTTAATAATCCAATAAACTTGAGAAACGCTCTTTAGAGAGTCAGCAAGCCTCGCTGGTGTCCACAACAGAGATACTCGCGCGCCCGTCCCGAGTCTTGCCCGGCACCGCTGACAGCGCTGCCCACGTGCTTCTGAGCTCGCGCGCACCTACCATGCTAGCTCGCGTCACGTGACACAACTCGCAGGCCCCCCTCCCCATCTAGTGACATCTGCAACGGTGCCTGATTAGTTTCTTATCTTTAGAGAAAGCTAGCCCAATAAATAATGAAAAAGAGAAAGAGAACAAGAACTTACATTTTTCTGGTTTTTATTTCTAAGCTTTTTCTCTTTTTTTTTCTAACAATTCTTTTTTTTTTTTTTTTTTTATTTGAGAGAGAATGAGAGACAGAGAGCATGAGAGGGAGGAGGGTCAGAAGGAGAAGCAGACTCCCCGCCGAGCAAGGAGCCCGATGCGGGACTCGATCCCGGGACTCCAGGACCATGACCTGAGCCGAAGACAGTCGCTTAACCAACTGAGCCACCCAGGCGCCCAGCTTTTCCTCTTCTTTATGAGCAATCTCACCACAATACCTTTGTTTTTTGATCGGGCGTTATCCTGGGCAGCTCCCCTGCTCGGGCTGGGGCTTTCTGAACAGTAGGCGCTGGCAGGATGCGTCATTGTCCACCGCCAAGTCCCAGTCAGCTCCAGCCAGCCTCCTTTAAGGCTTGTGGCCTCGATGTCCTTCCCCCGGTGTGCGCTTTTGTGGGCTCGGCTCCCGGCGGGGCGCTGGGCTGGCCACCGGGCAGCGGTCTGCTCTGTCCTTCGCGCCCGCGGTGAACCCCTGCCTGGGGCTCTGGGGCGCGTGTCTACCGCTGCCTCCGCCTCCTCCTCCTCTTCTGCCTCAGGAGGTTCTAAAGCCCCGAACACATCCTTGTTCGTGCCTCTGACTGTGAAACCTCAGGGCCCCAGCGCGGATGGCGACGTCGGGGCCGAGCTAACCCGCCCTCTGGATAAGAGTGAGTGCGGGAGCTAGCGAGGGCGGCGGGGGTGTCTGCGGGGTTGATGCGTGGCCGCGAGGACGCTGCACCCTGTTCCCCTGGAGACCCGCGGTCCCCTCGAGTGTTGTCATCGTGCCTGTCAGTGTCTGCGTATCGCGCTGGTTTGTGAGCCCCTCAAGGCTTGGGACTGCGTCTTACTCAGTCTTTAATATGCCGCCCCAGAAGTGGTCTTTTCCCTTTCACTGCGCTCCTCTCGGAATGGTTTAAACCCCCTTCTGGTGGCACGAGTCACCTTTCTTGCGTCGTTACGTGGACGACCGCTTTTTCGAGCATCCTTTGTTTCTCCTCCGCTGCCTAGAACTGTTGTCCTTGAAAAGGGGCAAGGGGATGGTCAGTGAAAAGCCAGAGGAGGATTTCTTTCAGGATTCTTTGTCATTTATTGGCATCTATGCAAACCTGGCACGGCTAGGCATTGTATGGTAGTTACCAAGAGGAACCAGACTCAGATCCAGATCTCTTGCGCTCCAGAAACTTACAGTCTCGCGGGGAGGAAGGATGTATGGATAACCAACTCTAATACAAGTTAGAACATGACACGGGTTCTTTGGCAAAGGTGGTGTGTATCCTTGATCATCCAGGACTCCAGAGAGAAAGGAATCGCTCAGTATCAGCAAGTGGCAGCAACTAACTTTGAATGGGTTTGACAGCTAGGCGTGCAAATGGTTTTAAGGGGAATTTCAGATTATAGGGCTGTACCTCTTTAGTTTCTGGATGATTAGGGAGGCAGGGGATTTCCTCTGACCAAATGAAGCTCTGGCAGGGTGAGGGAATGGTATAGCTCCACAGGGCACTAGCTCTCCAGGAGTTATCTTAGGCAGTTCACTTCAACGAGCAACATTGATGACTCCTATTGTAATTTAAAAATACAGAACTACCACATATTATGGGCCAAATCTTGTTTTTTGGGGTAGAAGTACAATACTTTCACTGCCTGAATGCCCCTGTGATTCCTTTCTTTCTTTCTTTTTTAAAGATTTTATTTATTTGACAGAGAGAGAGATAGCGAGAGCAGGAACACAAGCCGTGGGAGAGGGAGAAGGAGGCTTCCTGCCGAGCTCCTTTTTTTTTTTTTTTTTTTTAAACAGTGGCTAATATTGAGTGTTTGCTAGAGAACAGGTACCATTGTAAGCATGTGACTCAATTTTCCTAAGAACCCTTATGAGTTAGTGTTTTTATCCCCCCCAAAACCTACTTGTATGTCTACTATGTGCCAAGCACTGTTGTAGTCACACGGTAGGTGCTGAATATCTACCATGTCTATATTTAGCCATGTGAATATAGATTGACTGCGTGTAGAAAGATGGTGCATATTTGTGATAGTCACGCAGCACTTAAGTTACCCGTCTGATTTACAATTTACTTACCTTTTGTCCATTTCCTAGTTGGTAACATGAGCATAATATTTTCTCTGCCTGCATCTCTGGATTGTGAAAATCATCAGAACGTGTTAGGAAAAGCACTTTGGAAAACGTAAAGGGATGAACAAATGTAAACTAACATTATTTGTACTAAACATTTGCTATTTGAGAAATGGAATTAAAAGTTGGGTTGTCGGGGAGCCTGGGTGGCTCAGTCGGCTAAGCATCTGCCTTCGGCACGGGTCATAATCCCAGGGTCCTGGGATCGAGCCCTGCATTGGGCTCTCTGCTCGGTGGGGAGCCTGCTTCTCCTTCTCCCTCTGCCTGCCACTCTGCCTACTTGTGCGCGTGCGCTCTCTCTCTGTCAAATTTAAAAAAAAAACAACAAAAAACAATAAAAGTTGGGTTGACACCCTGCAGTAAGAATCTGATACATGGAAACTGGGAATACTATTCCCCTCGAAGCCCACATAATCTACCTATAAATCTAGGTTGATGTGAGGATTTAATAAAATAATGTATTTTTAGGTTAGTGTATCAACAAGGGCTTTTTTCCTTAGCTTTTTCGCTTTAGGCTATAATAGCTGGTGTAAAATTCCTTATACATATTTCTACTTAGACTCAGCTGGTTCCACCAGAGTAGTATTTTTAAGAACTTTGGGCACTACTATGAATTTTTAAGTGTTTAGAAGTTCTAGCAATGAAGTACAACTACCTTTGATGGCAGAGTAGCCCTCCTCTTTCTGGGAAAGGTGACTAGGCTGGAAGCTTTGGGCAGTCTCAAGTGGAGCAGCGAAGGAGGAAAGTAGTAGCATCCAGACATTGACATAGCTACGTGAGCCCTGGCTGACCACGGGTGGCAGATGTACCAGCAGAGCATGATCTCCTTTTAATTTTTGTTTTTTAAAGATTTTGCTTATTTATTTATTTGACAGAGAGAGACACAGGGAGAGGGAACACAAGCAGGGGGAGTGGGAGAGGGAGAAGCAGGCTTCCCGCAGAGCAGGGAGCCCGATGTGGAACTCGATCCCAGGACCCCGGGATCATGACTTGAGCCAAAGGCAGACGCTTAACGACTGAGCCACCCAGGCGCCCCTCCTTTTGATTTTTGATTAATCACTGGCTTGTTTACAGGAGGTGGCAGCAAAAAATAATATTCTTGGTGGATTTTATTAGCAGTTGTCACTCCCGGGGAGAGTATCAGATTAATTGAGGCAGGTTGTGTGGTAGTTTCCTTAGAGATCCTAGTAGTGGAAGTTTCCCACTGAGCAGGGAGCCAGTAGATGCACATTGGAACTTGGATTTGTAGAGCTGTTGCAAGAGGGTTGAAGCCCCTCGCCTCCCTATTAGTAGAGTGAACTGGAGTCAGAGTTTGGGGAAAGCTTGTCAAAACACCTGGACGGATTTGTTCTGGCATACCACTTATGAAGTAGGGAATTCGGGTATAATACTAAGGGGGTCAAGATTATGGAGACAGTCCCTGTATAGACGTTAGGTGACACTTTTCTCTTCAGAGCACATCTAGCTTTCGGGATGAGAATCATGGTTGCAGGAGGGACCTTATGAAGGAGGAGAGGCTTAATAAAGTCATTGTAATTTGATGCAGGATATCAGGCACAGACACGTTTGGGGATGTAGAGGATAGCTGAGCCTTCTCCATTTCAGTGCTGATGTCACACCTGTCACCTGAGAGTGAGGCAGAAGGGTCTGAGGCATTTGGTCTGATGCACCTGTCTGCTGCAGTAGTTACCCTTGGAGCAAATCTAGGGTTTTTCATTCCCTTTGTGATGATATGAAAGGTTCGGCATGTTCTACATCTGAAATTTATTTTATACTGTATGTTGCCTAACTGGAATTTAAATAAAAACTTGGAAAGGAAAAAAAAAAAGGTTCAGCATGAGTTCTGGCCACTACTAGAACAATATTCCCGCACATCTTCATATTCAGTGACAGTGGTAGTAATACTAGTTGTAATATTAGAGGGAAAGGAGCTAAATGCCACCACTAAGGAATGATGCTGCCTTTCCTTTATGGATCCTAGAGATTTTCTAACCTATTCTGATCACTTCTCTCCACCTGCATTTCCACTGTGGCTTTGGCCTTCCCAACTCTGTTATGAAGAGAGGTTGAGTTGTATACTTTTCCATCTGCTTCTCCAGCCCTCGAATGAGCTGTAGCTTTGGTGTCCTGAAGTGGGATTCTCGTTAATGATGGATGCTTACAGTGAAACGAGGGAATTAAAACATTTTAACAAAATGGATAACTCATATGGTTTAAGCAACCCCAGTTGGTAACGGCTACTTTGTTCTTCATCACAATGTAGGTGGAGTAAAGTGGACTGTTATTTTGTGTAACACTCAGGTGAGGTAGATTCACATTTTGGAAGTCCTGATGGACTATCTTGAACATTTTGTTTTCTCTTCAAAAGAAAATGTAACCATTTAAAAGGATGCAGCTGGCTTAGAGTTTGTAGTGGGCCTCTTAATTTTAGCAAATGTAGCTGAGTCCCAGTGTAGCTGTATTAAGTCCCAGGCTCCGTAGCAGGAGGCTGGAAGAAAGCTATGTGTTGTTACCTGGTGAAAGTTGTAGTGACTGAGTCATTTCTACTGTGGCTGAAATCCAGAGGGTGTCTCCTTTAATCACTGTTAATTTTAATGAGAAGTAATTATGATAAAAAATCAGGTCATTCTGTTAAGAATAGTGAAACTGTTACAGCTTAATTTTTTTAAAAAAGATTTTATTTATATATTTGACAGAGAGAGACACAGCGAGAGAGGGAACACAAGCAGGGGGAGTGGGAGAGGGAGAAGCAGGTTTCCCACTGAGCAGGGAGCCAGATGACCTGAGCCGAAGGCAGATGCTTAACTGAGTACTGCAAGGACCAGATCACCATGCTTTTACTCAAATGACTAAAGAGGTCAGGGATGATCTGCAGTTTAAAGATGATGATTTTAAGAACAGACTACACTTATTTTGTTCTAGATGGCATAACTACAGTCAGTGGGAAGTGAGGGATGCAGATTTCAGTGGAATTTATACAAGAACTTAGAACAGTGGAAAGGGGCTGCCTCAAAAAAGTGCCAGCTCCTTGTCACTGTAAGTGTCAAGCAAGGCTGAGAAGACTGTATTTCAAGGGTGATGGAGGGGAGGGCGAGTCAGATGTCTGATGAAGCAACAGGCCAGTATGAATCAATAATTTCATAAATGAAAATATTTTAGTCAATCAAGCTGCAAATGTATTAACATTGTATATAATGTTAATTATGTAAAGCTTAATTATCTAAAGCTTAATTTTTATGAAAAGCAAAACATGTTTTCATATACTTTTGTAGTAAATTAAAAAATATTTAGTGCTATTTCCATTAATTTTTTTTGCAGTTTTTTTTTAAAAAATTGGGAGTGGATTTGGAGCATGCTTTTAGATAAAGTGTTGATACAGAGATTTTTGTGTAGGTAATATTCTTTTTTTACAACAGCTTTAAAAAATAACATATATGCCATAAAATTCATCCATTTAAAGTGTAATGGTATGTTTGCAGGGTTGTAGACTATCACCATAATCTTAATTTTAGAACATTTTCATGACCCCCAAAAGAAATCCCATACCTAGTAGTAGTCACTCTACATTCCGCTAGCCCCACTTCCCTTCACCCAGCCCATGGCAACCACTAATTCACATTACGATATTTCATATACATAATATCACACAGGATATGGTCTTTCTTGACTAGCGTCTTTCACTTAGCACAAGAAACCTTATGCTTGAGTAAAGTATCCTTGAGTATCTTGATTCTTGCATAACACTCGAGTGTTAGTTATGGAAAGTGGGTTAATTCTAAACAAATGTGATGTCTTCAGTTTGTATGGAGTCTGTAGTTCTGCAGAATTTCCCCAAGCAGTTGCATGTGCTTTTTTTTTTTTTAAAGATTTTTATTTATTTATTTATTTGAGAGAGAGAGAATGAGAGACAGAGAGCATGAGAGGGAGGAGGGTCAGAGGGAGAAGCAGACTCCCTGCCGAGCAGGGATCCCGATGCGGGACTCGATCCCGGGACTCCAGGATCGTGACCTGAGCCGAAGGCAGTCACTTAACCAACTGAGCCACCCAGGCGCCCTGCATGTGCTTTTTTCCAGTCTTTTATTTGTCACTGATTTTTCCACTATTGATGGAAAGAGATGATCGCCCCCACTGGGTACAAAGTCACAGATACCCAGAAATATCAGGATAGCTGCCCGTGATAAGTGATATATATGTATGTATCTCACATTTCATTGTGGGCAAATCTAGTGCCTAAGCCACTGATTTTAAAATTCCTCATTATGGAAAACAAATTTTTATTAGTGGGATGCTTTATTCAGGCTTAATTTCTTAAGTATTGTGTGTATTGTCATTGCATGAAAATGAGGTTGGTACTTGGGCAGGAGGTAAAAATACAGGCCACTTGGCCTTTCAGTGTTTCGTGGGCAAAGACTATCCTCCATTTTGGCCTGTCTTCCCAGAAATACAGTGTGTGTGGCTGGATCAGTAGAACGTTTATCTCTGGAATAATGCAGTGGTATTTAATATGTACAATGTTAATACATTTGCAGCTTGATTGACTAAAATATTTTCATTTATGAAATTATTGATTCATACTGGCCTGTTGCTTCATCAGACATCTGACTCGCCCTCCCCTCCATCACCCTTGAAATACAGTCTTCTCAGCCTTGCTTGACACTTACAGTGACAAGGAGCTGACACTTTTTTGAGGCAGCCCCTTTCCACTGTTCTAAGTTCTTGTATAAATTCCACTGAAATCTGCATCCCTCACTTCCCACTGACTGTAGTTATGCCATCTAGAACAAAATAAGTGTAGTCTGTTCTTAAAATCATCATCTTTAAACTGCAGATCATCCCTGACCTCTTTAGTCATTTGAGTAAAAGCATGGTGATCTGCTCCTTGCAGTTCTGGTTGTCTTTCTAGATACCTTTTAACTGCTCACTATTAGATGTTTAGAAAGGATGTAAGTAAATGAAACAGAATATGGTCATCTAAGAGTGGCCTGATGGAGGCTAAGGGCAATGTCTAATCCTATGGCACCTTGCTTATTCCTCTGCAGTATAACAGGAATATTCCTATTATTTGAATTTATAATTTTTCTAGACACTCGGTTGCACTATTAAACCATAAAAAGCATGTGGTCAACTAAAACCTTTAAATACTTGGAACTCTCAGTAAGCTGCTGCCGTGAGTGTTATGACTTCAAGTTTCTTTTGTTCTTTGGGCATTTCTCCATCTAGAAATCCAATGTTAAGCACATCTTTCTTTCAGATGAAGTAAAGAAGATCTTAGACAAGTTTTACAAGAGGAAAGAAATTCAGAAACTGGGTGCTGATTATGGACTCGATGGTAAGGCTAATAGCATTTCCATTAGAGATATTTTATTACTTCATAGATTACAGCTTTGTCATTCTTGTGTGAGACCTCGCGTACCCAGGAAACAAGTACATACGTGTTGTCTGGAGGATGTCCCTGACCTTTGCTTCTGTCTTGACAGGAGTTTGGCAAGATGCACCCGGTGAGCTGGACACACGGCAAAGGAGCTGTGTGTTAATTTTTCCTTCATGTGGTGCTAGGATTTCACTGTAGGCCAGATCATAATAAACCAGCTGTAGGACCCTCCTCTGACCCCAAAGAAAGAGGACACTTTGATGAGTTAGGTGTAACGTGTATATGTACCTTTTAAATGAGAAATGAAATGAAAACTAAGCCTTACCTATTTTGGTTTTGTGTTTCCCACAGCTCGTCTCTTCCATCAAGCTTTCGTCAGCTTTAGAAATTATATCATGCAGTCTCATTCTCTGGATGTGGACATTCACATTATTTTGAATGATATTTGCTTCAGTGCAGGTAAGTGTTTAGAGATTTTTAAAAATCTCTTTTAAAATGTGTTGAGCATACTTTGTATTTCTTCTTGTGCTTCATGTTTATTTCTCTGGTCAGAGCTTGTTTGTTATAGAGTGGGCCCATTCACACCGTCTGTAAATAATTGTGTGCTTTCATAGGAGGCCTTCTAGGTCATTTTGCTTCTATAGTGGATCTCTGAGCTGGTCATTAAATCCACCATATATCTTAGACTAGAGGAAGACTGGGGTCTTGATCTATCACCTTCTGCTCTCGGCTATGTGTTATGTATAGGCAACAGTGAAGTGAACTCTCATAGAAGATAGAATCAATATGTGGCGGATTCCATCTGTTTCTGCCACTGACTTTTTTCCTCCCTCATATCAGGACAGAGTTTTTGCGAGAAAAGAAAAAATGTAAGAACATCACTGTTGTGTTCCCATCGACAGTTTGCCTTTGGTTATGTTTTTTAAATGTAAAGTGTTTGTACCTGCATTTCTCTTCAGTAACCATAGGTCTTCTTGCTAATGTATATTTCCAGGTTCTTTAATTTAACTTTCACCAATGCTGATCTTTACCTGTTTATATCAGAAGAGTAGAACATGGTGGTTGACAGCCAATTTGCTATTTTCCTAGAAAACGTAAGTGAAATTAAAAAGAAAACATAAGACGAAGCAGAATCTGAGAAAAGGATAGAGTTCCTTGCTCCAGAATTTTTCTTTTTATCCTGGTAACCTCCCCTTGACTACCTCGCTAAGAAGGAAAGTTTCGCTAAGTCTGGTTATGGATAACATGTAGATTGCACCTGTTAATGCAGTGTTTTATTTTTCAGCTCATGTGGATGATTTATTTCCATTTTTCTTGAGACACGCAAAACAGATATTTCCTGTGTTGGAATGTAAGGATGACCTTCGTAAAATCAGTGACTTAAGAATACCACCAAACTGGTTAGTTTCTTTACTTGTGGGTTTGATACTAGTGTCTAATCTTGGGAGATTGGTGATCATTACATTTTTTTATTGTAGGTGGATGATAAATCATAAGGAGTCTAGGAGTTGTTTTCCCTTGAAAAACAGGCAATTAATTCTGGTGTCTCCCCTTGATTCTGATCAAGCTAGGTAGTAGGTTTTACTAGGACAAATCTAGAGTAGCCCTTACTTTAGGGTGTCGGCCTTACAATTAAAGTGTGGCCTAGTGTCAACTAAATGCCTGGGTGTTAACGAGCTCTCATCACTACCGCCATTGTGGCTGGAGCTCCCAACATCTAGCGCTTTGCCACCTCTTTGAGACTTTCTGCTAAAACCCTTACTTAGCAAGCTGCTTTCTGCTAGACCCTGCACATGTGCAGCCCAGCCCTTGGCCAGAGACCCAAGGGAAGCCTCACATAGACTTGAAGGCACTTCCTCCACTGAACCCTTTCTTCTCTTCCACACTATGCCCTTCAAATCCCACCTGCTTTAGCATCTCTGACTTTGATCTCTACTGCTCAGCTCATTGGGACTGTCATACTTTGCTTGGGTTCCACCTCCCTGTGCCCTGCTGGAGTGCAGTAGGGCTCATCTCAAGTGTTCCTTTGTTTCAGGGCTGTAGTCCTCCACTGCCTGTTGTTTATGTCCCCAAGCAGCTGTGGCATGTATTTTGTCCAGTTTTGTACTTGTTTGTGGTGGGCGGGCAAGTCCCGTACCATTCATCATGGCTGGAGACAGAAGACTCAGTCATTATATTATATATGTTGAAATTCAGAAGCCTAGGAATATTTACTTATAGGGTCATGTATTTAGAGCTGTGGAAATGAAATCAGCATGTCTGTGGAGCTGATAGCAGTTTAAACTTACTTTAAGTTAAACTCCTGAAGAGAAGGGACTTGGACAATGGCAAAAATATCCAAGAAATTAATTTGCATTTAGATTTTTCTGTCCTCTAGTTAGTAAGTGCCAATCTTGGAAAACAGTCAATATTTTTTTTTTTTTTTGGGGGGGGGTTTAAGATTTTATTTATTTATTTGAGAGAGACAGAACACAAACGAGGGGGAAAGGGACAGAAGGAGCAGCAGACTCCCCACTGAGCAGGGAGCCTGATGCGAGGCCTGATCCCAGGACCCTGGAATCATGACCTGAGCCAAAGGCAAACAAAAACAGTCAATATTTTTTAATTTTTTTATTTATTTGGCAGAGAGAGCGCGCAAGAGCAAGTGAGCACAAGCAAGGGGAGCGGCAGGTAGAGGGAGAGGGAGAAGCAGGCTCCCCACTGAGCAGAGAGCCCGACGGGCTTGATCCCAGGATCCTGGGATCATGACCTGAGCCAAAGGCAGAAGCTTAACTGACCAAGCCACCCAGGTGCCCCAAAAGTCATTATTTTAGTGTGGATCTGAAACTCATCATTTTATTTAGTTTCCCAAAAGATCCTGTCAAGTGAATATTAACAGGATGTTTCATTGGAATCATTTTCGGTTGATACTTTTACCAGGATGGATTTTCAGGTTAATGGGAATAAGCTGTTTACCTACTTATATTTTAGGTACCCAGAAGCCAGAGCCATACAGCGGAAGATAATATTCCATTCAGGCCCCACAAACAGTGGAAAGACTTATCATGCAATCCAGAAATACTTGTCAGCAAAATCTGGAGTGTATTGTGGCCCTTTAAAATTACTGGCACATGAGATCTTCGAAAAGAGTAATGCTGCTGTCAGTATATTACCAAATATTTGCTCTTTTTCTTGTTAATTTGGGAGGGCTGGGCAGGGTAAAGGTGGAAGGTGGGGAAGGGCATATGTAGTAATTTACCACTAATAAAAGTTGCTGTAGTTCATTGTACTTTGTAAGATGTACGATTATTTTATGTACAACTGAGAAAGAAAAAGAAGCTGCCAACTGAACTCTGACCTGCCATTAGGCTACCTCCTGATTTCAGAGATACTAAAATGTGAAAAGTGTATTGGAATGAATGAAATACAGTATCACAGAATATTTCACCAATACAGAGAAATGCAGAGAATTACATGCAAATAACTTGAATCCACTACCCAACTCCCATCGGATTCTAACATTTCACCATACTTCTTGTTTTATTTATTTTTTTAAGAAGTAAACTATTGATACAGTTGAAACTCCCTCCGAGGCCCTCCTTTGCTTCCTCAGAGTTAACCTACTCTGTTATTGTATTTAACTTACCTTTTTTTCAATTAGACCTCTGATGCTATGAACTAGAACTAATGATAAAGACTGAAGCCACTTGTTTAGACCTGCAAAGGACTGAACGCCCTGTCGTCTGAGGCATCGTTTCACTAAACGGGCCACGTTCTGGTTCATTGTCTTACGACTTTATAATGTGAGATGAACAGGTTTGGGAAGATAATTTGTATTCTCTGTTTTTTGTTCTGGATGACTTGTGTAATTTGACATACATCCTGCCTCCTTATCCATAAATAAGAAAGTATTTCCTCAGAACAGAGACTTTCTTTGACATAACCACGTGGTATTTCTCGAAAGCAGGGTATTTAATATTGATAGAATACTATTATTTAATCCACAATCTATATTTAAATTGCCAGTTGTCGATAACACCACCACCACTGTCTTCCAACCCCTTAGGATTCTGTCCACAGTCTCAACACTGTATTTTGTTATCATGTCTCTAGTTTCCATTAATCTGGGACAACTCCTCAGGAACCTTTTTTTATCTTTCAAAACCTTTACATTTGGAAAACTACCAGTCATTTGTGTTGTAAACTGTCACTCAGTTTGGATATATCAGATGTTTCTTCATGATTAGTTCAGGCCTCTAGGGACACTAGCTGTCCCGGATTGCCTCAACTTTCCCAGATTTAGCACCTAAAACCCTTCGTCCTGAGGAGCCCCTCAGTCCTGGGCAAACTATTATACCATACTATTAATGCTGCTCCTTCTCAAGGAATTCTTTTTTTTTTTTTTTTTAAAGACTTTATTTATTTATTTGAGAGAGAGAGAGAGAAACAGCATGAGAGGGGAGAGGGTCAGAGGGAGAAGCAGGCTCCCCGCTGAGCCGGGAGCCCGATGTGGGACTCGATCCCAGGACTCCGGGATCATGACCTGAGCCGAAGGCAGTTGCTTAACCAACTGAGCCACCCAGGCGCCCTCTCAAGGAATTCTATTAGGGGGTCTTTACGTTCTTAAATATTATTTATAATATTCTTCTTGAATATAGAAACAATCCATGTTCATTTTAATAAACCAAAATAGTACAGAAACATACAAAGTTAAAAAGTGAAACCGCTATGATTTCTTATGTTTGTGTTACCTGAGAATTAAGCTGATTTGAGATGTTTCCAAGTTTATGTAGGTTATGTAAGCGAGCCACTTTTATTTTTCATAAAAGTTTTCTTCACAGGATTGGGAATAAATTTAATGGTAATGGCGAAAATACTCAAACATCCAAAACTTCTTTTTCTGTTATTTTAAAGGTGGTGATAACTCCAGATTTCTTTTTGTCATCCTAGGGTGTTCCGTGTGACTTGGTAACAGGGGAAGAGCGTGTGACCATAGAGCCAGATGGGAAACAGGCTGCCCATGTTGCTTGTACCGTTGAGATGTGCAGTGTTACAACTCCTTGTATGTACATGCCATTTAAAACACTATGGTTTAGTAATTTTTTATTTGAAAATACAGATGAACATACGAAATTGTTTTTATTGTAAAAAATTATTTTAATTGAGATGAATAGGACAACAGATACCCAGTGCTCACCACCGCTGATAAATGCCAAACTCTATGGTGTTTGCTTTTGAATGTTCCTTTCCCTTTTTCTCTCCAAGGAACTAAAATGTTAACAAGTATGATGTTTCCTTTGTACCACTCCCCGATTCAATTCCTCTTTTGATCCAACTGCTATCAAGTATTTGGTATATATCTTTCCTGTCTTTTTTCATATCACCGATACGTATAAAATAAATAAGATTTATTTATTTTAAAGAATTTTTTTTTTTTTAAAGATTTTATTTATTTATTTGACAGAGACACAGTGAGAGAAGGAACACAAGCAGGGGGAATAGGAGAGGGAGAAGCAGGCTTCCCTCTGAGCAGGGAGCCCGATGTGGGGCTTGATCCCAGGACTCTGGGATCATGACCTGAGCCGAAGGCAGCCGCTTAACGACTGAGCCACCCAGGTGCCCCTAAAGAATTTTTTAAAAAGATTTGTTTATTTGAGAGAGAGAGTGTGTGTGAGCAGGGGGAGGGAGAGGGGAAACAGACTCCCCACTGAGCACGGACCCTGAGATCATGACCTGAGCCAAAATCAAGAGTCAGATGCTTAACCAACTGAGCCATGCAGGTGCCCCAAGAATTTTTTTAAAGTTTATTTATTATGGGGCATCTGGGTGGCTCAGTCAGTCAAGTGGCTCCCTTCAGCTCAGGTCATGATCCCAGGGTCCTGGGATAGAGCCCATGTTGGGTTCCCTGCTCAGCGGGGAGTCTGCTTCTCCTCCACCCCCGCCTTGTGCTCTCTCTTGCTCTCTTTAAAGTAAATAAATAAAATCTTAAAAAAAAAAAATGAAGTTTATTTACACTCAACGTGGGGCTTGAACTCACCACCCCAAGATCAATCGTGGCACTTCCAACTGAGCCAGCCAGGCGCCCCTAGATTGTGTATTTTAAAACATTGACATGATTACCATATTGTGTTATTGTTCCACAACTTGCTTTTTTTTTTTTTTTTTGGACTTTTTAAATTGTTATATTAAAGTTTTTGATGTAGTGTTCCATGATTCATTATTTGTGCATAACACCCAGTGCTCCATGCAGAACGTGCCCTCTTTAATACCCATCACCAGGCTAACCCATCCTCCCACCCCCCTCCCCTCTAGAACCCTCAGTTTGTCTAGAACCCTCAGTTTGTTTTTCAGAGTCCATCGTCTCTCATGGTTTGTCTCCCCCTCCGATTTCCCCGCCTTCATTCTTCTCCTCCTACTATCTTCTTCTTTCCTTCTTTTTTTTTTCTTAACATATATTGCATTATTTGTTTCAGAGGTACAGATCTGTGATTCAACAGTCTTGCACAATTCACAGCGCTCACCTTAGCACATACCCTCCCCAATGTCTATCACCCAGCCACCCCATCCCTCCCACCCCACCCCCCACTCCAGCAATCCTCAGTTTGTTTCCTGAGATTCCCATATCAGTGAGGTCATATGATACGTGTCTTTCTCTGATTGACTTATTTCACTCAGCATAACACCGTCCAGTTCCATCTATGTCGTTGCAAATGGCAAGATCTCATTCCTTTTGATGGCTGCATAATATTCCATTGTATATATACACCACATCTTCTTTATCCATTCATCTGTCGATGGACATCTTGGCTCTTTCTACAGTTTGGCTATTGTGGACATCACAACTTGCTTTTTATTCTACACAGCATGTTTTTAGATCTAGTTTTGTTTTAGGTGTATCATATCACATGTATATCGTATATATCATAAATATATATATCAAGTTTATTCATTTAAACTTATGACTAAAATTCCATCTTATGACTAAAATTCATTCCCTCCCCTACTAAAGAATATTTAGGTTGTTTAAAGTTTTTTACTAATGGGTGCCTGGATGGCTCAGTCCATTAAGCACTTGTCTTTGGCTTGGGTCATGATATTGGAGTCCTGGGATTGAGCCCCGTGTCCCGGCTCCCTGCTCAGCGGGGAGCCTGCTTCTCCCTCTGCCCCTCCCCTCTGCTCGTGTTCTCTCTTTCAAATGAATAAATCAAATCTTAAAAAAAATAAAGTTTTTCACCATTATATGTAACACTTCAGTGAACTTCTATTTAAGTAGTTTTGAAAATATTTTAAATAAAAATTAACTTCTTCTTACCAGTAAGCAATCATATCTTCATTATAGAAAATATAAAAATAAATGCAAAGAGAAGAAAACCTACAACCTCTCAATTCTACCCATCTAGAATCAATAAGTGTTAACCCTGTGGTGTGTATTTTCCAGATTTCTTCTGTGTTTGTGTTGTGTATGCATATACTTATGTGTGCATTGTGGGTGTGTATAGTTAAATGGGTATTATATATTATGTACTTTAGTTAGCTTTTTTCATTTTAATAATTTTTCTGAGTAAATGGTTAGTTTTTAAAAGATGAGTTTATTATAAAAGTAATACACTGTAAAAATTTAGATAGCGCAGGGGTGCCTGAGTGGCTCAGTCGTTAAGCGTTTGCCTTTGGCTCAAGTCCCGATCCCAGGATTCTGGGATCGAGCCCCATATCAGGCTCCTGGCTCAGCGGGGAGCCTGCTTCTCCCTCTCCCTCTGTCTCGCCCCCTGCTCATGCTCTCTCTCTCTCTGTATCTCTGTGTCTCAAATGAATAAATAAAATCTTTTAAAAAAAAAATTTAGATAGCACAGAAGTTTATAAATCAAAATTCCCTCCTGTCCCCTTTTTTCTAATCTTGTTTGTATGTACCCAATTGCAATAAGTGATTTTTAATCTGATGGTTTTTCAGTATAAAATGTGCTTTCTTTTGTTTCCTAAATGTTACTGTGGGCATATTAATTTTTTTTAAATGTGCTTTTCTCAACTCCTTGGTATTTGAGGAAGAAAATTAAAATATAATTTATATGACTTAATAAAATAATATGGTCAAAAGCATTTTGGCATTAGAAAATAAAATGAGGTACTAATTTTTGCCATAGTGATGAGCTTAAAGCCCCTAAGAATGAGCATAGCTGGAGCTCAGGGAATGACTCTTGCTCTTCCACTTTCTGCTCCTGGCATCTGTCTGGGTTCCTGTGATAGAGAGGCTTCATTTATAGTGGGGCTGTCTACTCCTTGTTCCTGGAAGTATAGATACTTTCTCTTTTTTACTACCCCGTGGGTGTGTTGTTTTTTTTTTTTAAAGGTTTATTTATTTTAGAGAGTGTGCGCATGCATGCACAAGCAGGGGGAGGGGCAGAGGGAGAGGGAGAGGGAGAGAGAGAATCTGAAGCAGACTACCCGCTGAGTGTGGAGCCCTATGCAGGGCTTGATTCCATGACCCCGAGATCATGACCCTGAGCTGAAATCGAGAGTCGGACACTCAACCGACAGAGCTACCCAGGCGCCCCTGGGTGTGTTAGTTCTTATTAAGCAGATTCTCCAGGCTGCCTCTGAGATTGCAGAAAATAGGACAAAGGGACCTACTACATGCTAGATGGCCTGGGTTTGAATTTCATGTTTTTAGATCTTAACACTTACTAACTGCACATGCTGTGTAACCTTGGGCCAGTGACTTAACTTCTCTGGGCCTTAATTAATTCTTCTGTACAATAGCTAGAATGATGATACTTATTGTATAGGCTCGTTGTCGGGATTAAATGAGATATATAATTGTAAATAAAGCACTTAGAACAAGCCTGCCAGAAAAGAAGTGCTTAGTGAGTGACGATTGTGATGATGGTGGTGACGAAAACTTGAGTTGTGGTGCTATAATTTGTTCATGACGCTATTTAAGTAGATTGTGTTGCTCATGAGAACTTCTTATTGTAGATGAAGTGGCCGTGATTGATGAAATTCAAATGATCAAAGATCCAGCCAGAGGATGGGCCTGGACCAGAGCGCTTCTAGGTTGGTGGTCTGAATGCTAAGACCTGTGCTTTGTGTCATCTGCACGGAGATGCATTTCTCTGCTTGACAGTGCCAGATAGAGTCATTAGGATCCTCTCTCTTTGACACAAATCAAACAAAAGAGTCAGCCTAGTGTGAGTTCTTATTTCCTAAACATTATTTGAATAATGGAAAGTCCAGTTTTCCTACTCTGAAGTTAGCATAACCAGTTAATTAAAGTTAAAATTCAAATCTTGCCATCTTTACACAACCAGGATTAACATTTTGATGTTTTCATGCCAGTCTTTTTCCTTGGGAATACGGTGTCTTGTGAATTATTTTGTATCTTGCTTTTTTTTTTTCTTTCCAGTTTGTTGTTTCATAGACTTTTTTTCACCCCACATATTAATATCGCATATTCTCCGTTGAAGAGCTGCACTGTTTTTTTTCCCACAGAGTTGAACATTTTTTCCTGTTACTGATAGTGCTACAGTAAAAATTTTTGTGGCCATAGCTTTTCATTTGTTTATTTAGTTATTTCTTTAGGATAGGCTCCTGGAATTGGAGTTTTTGAGATCCATGGACATGAATGAACATTTCCACTTCTTGATATTGGAGTGGATTTTTGATCAGCCCGTGTTGTAGGGCAGATGTTTTCAAATTTAAAAACAAATAGCTGAACTCCTTCAACCAAAGTGTATACATTAAAGTCTGTAATTTAAAATGGATGAGAGTGGATCCGCTCAGCGGTAAGGAGCTTGGAGTTTCATTTACCCTCCAGCCCTCAGCCTCTGAGGCACCTTAGTGATTCCATGGAGCCTAATTTGAAAAATGCAAGTATAAGATTCAGTGCTAACCATCAGAATGCAAGGTTCTCTAGTCCTGGCTGGTTTCACCCTCTAATAGACTCAAAACCTTGGCCAAAGCAGTTTAAAAACTCTGAGAGTCATAAAAATAGAATCTTTGCCCACTAGAATGTTGTTAATTTGAGGTTTGCATCAAAGAGATAATATTGATGAAAACGCTTGGTAAAGTTGTAAAGCAATAGGTAAGCAAACTTAAAGTACTTTTGCTATATAAGGTATTACAATATTTAATTTCAGATCTTTAAAAAACTACTGATTTTGCATTTAACAGGACTCTGTGCTGAAGAAGTCCATTTGTGTGGAGAATCTGCTGCTATTGACCTGGTTACTGAGCTTATGTACACGACTGGGGAGGAAGTAGAGGTACTAGATTATATGCTTTGTCTCAAGGTGGCGTAGCAAATAGCCTAGAGTACCCCAGCAATGGCTTCGTAGGTCCCACATATGGCAAAATCAGAACTTAACTAAAAAGAACGCTTCATTTTCTCACAGTTGACTAGATCATACATACTTGGTTGAATATCATGATCCGAAATCCTGGCAGAATGGCCATCATACCCTAAGCCTTCCAGAAGTACAGGAGACTTTTCATCTTTTCTTGACAAAACCTTTTGGAGTTTGAGCAGATCTCTTTTAGAATTAACTAAGTCAGGAATGTTCGAAGTTTGAGGCTTAGCAAAAGCTCATGGTTTTCTGAGCCTCAGATGTCCAGTATTAGGACTTTTGATATACATCTAATTGCTAGAGATAGTTTGTATTCCTTTCTGAAATTCATAGAATAGAAAGTAACTGGTTTCCTTTTAATCCTACATTTGTTTTGTTTTTTACTATAGTTCTTGAGTAAGATGAAGACATTTTTAAAAATGGGCCCATTTGTTTTGTGTTCAGCTTTCAGGGAGAGGCTGGAATGTAGTGGAAGAAATTCTGGGTTCTAGGCTTTGCTTTTATTAGCTTTGCGTTCTTAGGCAAATCACAGAAGGCCAGAACGGAAAGAATCCTTATCAGACCTGATCTTTTCTATGGGCTCTATTTTACCTTTTCATAAAATGGAACTAATAGTTAATAAGCATTCTGAAGTTACCAAGTTGCCATGAAAATTGAATATATATGAAAGTGCTTTGAAAATTTGTGAAATGCTATATGACATTTTATGGATTTAGAAATACCAATGAGAACTGATGGTAACATTTATAATATGAAAATAAATGTTTTTCTGTATTTTCCTTTGAAAAATGTTGGAACTTGTCAGTTACGTTTTTTTGTTAAGATTTTATTTATTTATTTATTTATTTA